GCATTTTCAAAGATCCCCAGGATATTCCAGTGTGACCCTAAGGACCACTGATCTAGAGTAAATGTTTACTGATATTGAAGAAACATCTTTGCAGTGTAAATAAATACAAAGTATAGAACGAAATGTTTGGTGCCTTGTCGATGTGAGGTCAACATAGAAGATGGAGATTAAAAAGGAAATTGGGAATTGAAATTAAAGCAATAGGTCAGATAACTCAAACCAAAATATTATTTTGTTTGAAATAGTTAACTGTATATTTGTTCTCATATATTCAATCTAGCATGAAAAAAAACCTTAATGGATTATGATTTATATGTGGGGGAGCATGAGACTGAGAGCATTATTTAATTTTATTTCTTTCATGTTTTAATTCACCTTGCAGACACCAACCTCAAATAATTAAAGTGATTAAAACCAATGTATAACAGCAATTATTAAAGCTTTGTGGTTATGCCCTATATAACTACTAATTTGACCCAGTTATAAGTCCAAAGTAAAAATATTCATTCTTTACAACAAGCATCTAATATTAAGACAAAATATGGGATATGTTTTTCCCTACAAATATAAAACACATATCATAAATCAGTAGTTGTATATGGAGCAGAAAAATGAAAAACAAAAATCTGGGTCATAAAAGTGGTTATGATAGTGGCTTTGACCTTATAAATGGCTTTATTAATGGTTAAAGTGATCGTCTGCATGGCTAGACTGTTTGATTCTGCAGAGAAGCAATTCAACTATAAAATTATGTTTGAAAATAATAAAGTGGTAGAATATAAAAGATATATATTTGCATATATATTCCACACTTCTGGACAGTGTCATAATTTGTACAATAGCACTTAACAGCAAAATAGTATTTTAGAGTCAATATTTAAGTATAAAGAATTGTTAGATATGTGATTTTCTTAAAAAAACTAATTTTTAAGAATCTATAGTGCATGACACAAATAAATAAGAACTGAAGAAATGTCTTTTTTTCAAATTGCATGTTATGTAACCCAAATTCTATGTTCTCAAACTGGTTAATGTTTGTGAGTAGTTCCTGCAAGCAATACAGAAAGACTCAGATATCATGATTTTTACATATGCCTAACACTGGCAGAGTATCCTTTTGGTCACTGCCTGTTAAATAAAAATAAGCAATAGAATCTGCTTTCATATGAGATTATAAAAATAAAAATATGAGAACGCATACATTCTTGAGCGTATAAAGGTTAGAATTTATTCTGAAAGAACTAAAATGCAGATGATGCAATGATTTATGTTAGAATCTAACCTCAAACTTCTGACCACCACTGATCATCTGGCTTAAGATATAGTAAGTGAATAAAGCTATCAGTAACAAAAGTTTATCTGTAACATAGAAATTTACATTCCCTAAATATCCCGGTTGTATAATACATATTTCAAGAGTGCATAGGAGCTAAAGAATGGCATATTTAAGAGAAAATCTTTAAGTAAAAAAGCAAGTATGTTAATAATATAGATATGTAATTTTGTAGCTTAGAAAACTGTATTTTTTGTGTGTGTGTGAGGAAGATCAGCCCTGAGCTAACATCTGATGCCAATCCTCCTCTTTTTTTCTGAGGAAGACTGGCCCTGAGCTAACATCCATGCCCATCTTCCTCTACTTTATATGGGATACCGCCACAGCATGGCTCGACAAGCGGTGCGTCCGTGCCCGCCCGGGGTTCCGAACCAGAGAACCCTGGGCCGGTGCAGCAGAGCACACACACTTAACCGCTTGCGCCACTGGCCCAGTCCCTGTATTTTTTAATATGACTAGCCAACTTGAAGATTTTTACAAATTAGTCAGATAGTTATTATACATCAAAAACATTATTTTGAATAACACTGCAAACTACAGAGAAGAATTACTGTCATAATTTTTGCTGCTTGATTTACGTAATGTCAGCTTGAATGGTAAAGCATAAATGATATATGCAATAGTTCTTGTTCTTTATTTTTCCATAAATTACTTTCCCAATTAATGTGTATATTTACTTTAAAAAAAAATTTAAACCAGCTCTTTCTCAGAATATAAGAAATATTCTTGGGTGCAAATGATTTTTACTATATGTTGCAATACAAACGTTTACCAAAGTAAATCAAGATGAACTTGATCTCCAGTTACCATGGACTCAAAACACTATGATTGTATTAGATCAATATTAAGGGTTGTTTTTTTTTCCTTCAGCATAATAGGTCAAAGGTGATAATATGCCCTAACCGTTAAAAGTTAGAAATCAATGCATTAATCATTTAGTTATATATTAGTATAATAAAGTTAATATATATCTCCTAAAATATAAATTCTAATAGTTTATATAACTAATATGATTAAATTTATTCTCCTGTCTATAATTTTATAAATATATTTATAAACTATTAAAATTGGACTTTTTCATGAATGTATTGCCAATTCCAGAAATATATTGCATTTACTTTTAATATAGTCTATCTAGGGCTTTGTGGCTAACTTAAAATATGGAAAGTTTTGTGTAGAATGTATGTCTTGAACAACATCCTGATGATAGTCATAATTTTATAAGTATGTTTGAAATAAGTAAAAGTGTTTATAAAGAAACTCAGACACATTCTTTAAAGACTACAAGTAGCATTTTAAGGCATGAAATAAAATATGTACGTGGACGTGTTTGTAGCTTTAGCAAAATCATAAGAAAATTATGCATTAAACTGAGGAACTAACCAATTGATTTGTGAGTTATCAATCAAGAACACCAGCACCTTAAATTTGAAACTGCAATTTTTGAAAACAGTTATTGGGGAATAAATGTTTCAAATTGACAAACAAACAAAATCACACAACCAAGACATAACTACAAGACATCACAGATAATAAATTCTGTGTTGTAGTGATGAGAAACTCAGATGCCTTTGTTTACTTTTCAATGTGAAGAAGAAATTTTTCTAAAAAGGAGTTAAGATGTTTATAATGTGCTTTTGTGCATACAGTTAACAACTACTACTTTATACAAAAACACAATCCAGAAGTATTTCATAACACTACAAATTAATTTAACCTACAATATACCTTACGGCTATGATGATATAAAAATAAAGTTGAGAATTATTTCAGGTCAAGGGGAAAATAAATATTTACATACATTTAAAACTTGGATATTTGAACAAAGATATATTTGACATGCTTATTTGAAAATATGCTGCAGTCTGTTGACAATGCAGACTGCCTTTTAAAAACTGAACCTATGCAAATTGGAATTACTGGAAATTTCTATATGAGTTTACATTCAGGGAAGCAGGAAAACTCAAATTATTACAAGGTACCACTTTTGAACATAAATATACCGAAATCTTTGCAACCTTTTTATTAGTAGTAGAATTAGCATACTCATGAGTTTCCTTATCTTTACAATTTTGATGGAATACATCTTGTCAAAATAAATAACTATGCAATAAATACACTAGTCATTCACTATTAACTTCTTCCATTAAGAATAAGTTTGATTCCCAGTCGTGAATATAATGGTGTGGTTAAGCAAAATATGGTCCATTTATCTAGTGAAGTAGCATTCTAAATTAATATTGTAAACTCAATAATAGTATTTGCAAAATTCTGTTTCTGGTCTTAAAGAATGTTGACAAAGCAAGTTTAGTTTGAGTTTAGCTAAACTGTCAAAAGCACAACTAATCAATCCAAAGTAAAATACAGCCCTTGAACTATGTTCATTTTAAATAGGTATCCCTTAGCCGAGTTCTCTTGTCAAAGTATCACAAAACCCTTTGATCCATCCTGCTCTTGGTCACACTTCCCTAATGCAAAGCAAGTGAGGAAAAGAGGGACAATTGTTCTGTTTCTGTGTGGGGTTGGGGGAGTAGTGAAGAGAAAGGAAGAGAGAGAATGTGGTGTATTATTTCTTTCAAAAAGAAACACTATTTTATTGTGTTGTTCAAGAAATTACCTTGGAACAAAACATTAAGGCTTACTGAGATTCTGTCATCATTTCTCGCCTACTAAAACGTCACTGCAGTATCTTCCTCTTTAATAAAGCTCTTGGGCAAATCTTATTTCAGCACCACGGACAGTGACACTTCTATTAGGACGTGCACCCATGGTTGCATTGGCCATTTCTTAAGAAACTTGCATATGCTTTTCCTTTGTCAATCAGCAAGGGTTTTATCCACTATTATATTCAGGTTGAATATAATACACATTATTAAAAAGTTCAGTATATTTCTTCCATAGCATCAAGAATTTGCCATTTAGTACTTCTGGATAGCGTCTTGAAAATTCAAGCTAATTACATAAGGTGTCTGATAAATAACCTAACATTGATCATCGATCACCAGATACTTAATTAAAACTTTCCACTCATAGTGAGTCTCAGATCAATAATCATACAAACGTCTAAGAGAAAACAGGAAACTTATGGTAAGTAAATATGCTTACGTAGGCCTCCAGACTTTCCAAACAACCAGAACTACTCCTGTAAAACAGACAAAATGCTTTTTCGTTCTTCCTACATAAACAACTACAAACACTTTCTCTTGTCCCTCTGGTCAACCAACTTAATGATGTCACTATCAGAGAGCTCATGTGTGCAGGTCCATAAGCCAAACCATTCACATCTGTCTCTGACTCTTCTGATTGTAGCTAGGGTTATCAGTATGTAGTCCCATAGCTATCTTCCTAACAAGCTGCATTCAAATTCCATTTTTTCAAAAAAGTAACAGAGTTTGAACCAATTGCATAGCTGTGAAAGCTAGTTTAAGCACCAGCTTTATTATCTCAGAAGACCAGGGTCTTTCCTGATCTTCCAAGGATTCCCAGAAGAAGGCACCAGTCACCAGCAACCCCCGAGGAATTCCCAACTCAAGCAGCAAGTCAAGATCTTATAACCACAAAAACAATGATTGAAGTAACAAAATCAGAGTCAAAACACTATTTAAAAACTATAGAAGACACCTCAACCAAAAAGGCACAAGAAGGGGGAAAAATCCACTGTTCCTACCTTACAGTCCTCAGGACACGATTTCACCGAGTACTCCTCCGATTGTAAATATTTATGGAGCACACTTTCAAACTCTTCGTATTTCTCCTGAGCGTGGTGGTCATAGTCTTGGTAAGCCTCGACGCATTGCCTGCAAGTGGTCATCTCGCCGCCCTCCTTGAGCACCACATCCAGACTACAGTTCAAAGTGTTGGGACTGGACAACCCCGAGAACAACTCCCAAAGTGTGTAGGAATTACAAAACGAAAGGTAAAAATCCGACAAGTTCCAGAGCGGAGTTGGATGCGTCCCCCTCACCTGCTGCTCCTCCGCCCCGGCCGCCGCCCCCCGACTCCAGTTCCTAGCGCACACGGCGTCCGCGCTCTCCACCGTGAAGCACTGGCCCGAGGAGGCGCCCTGGGGGTAACAAGTCTCCAGGCGCCACACGGGTTTGGCGGAGTTTCCTAGAAAAAGAGCCTTGCTCCGGTTGTTTTTGCCTCGGTTGCCCTTGCCGCCGCCGCCGTCTCCCGGGGAGGGGGGCAGGGTGGGGGATGAGGAGGCGGAGAGGAGTCTGTGTGCCTGGGCGGCGGGTGAGGACTCCCCCATGCTCGCCAGGAGCGCGGGCCAGGAGGGCTCCTGCTGCCGCTGCCGCTGCTGCTGCTGCTGCTGCCGCTGCCGCTGTTGCTGCTGCCGCTGCTGCTGCTGCTGATGCTGCTGATGCTGCTCCTTGTCCCGGGTCCGGGTCAGCTTGGCCTCGGCGCAGAACCACAAGTGATCAGAGAGCAGGACTGTGAAAAACAAGAGAGATGCCAGAGACAGTCGCCATTTCTGAGCCCTCTCTGAATCGATGAACGGTTTCTCGTTCTCCCGGGGTGCTGCCAACCAGATTTTTAAGCCGTCGTCATACTGCCGACACATCCAAGCACCCCTGGTCATATTTTGGGAACGCACAGCCCTGGCCGACTCCACTGTGAGGGCTCCTGTGCCGGTGTCACCACAATATGCATTGACTTAAAGGGTTTAATTTCTTTATCCCCTCCTCCCGTTTCTTCTCTCTCCCTCTCTCCCTCTCTCTCCCTCTCTTTTCTCTCTCTCTCTCTTTTTGCCTACATAAATATTACCAGGCTTTGGAGGAAGATCTGACTTGCTCCCGACCTAATCATCTGCCGACCCCATCCTCTGTAGAGTGGGAAACAATAATGCAGAGAGAGAGAGAGGGAGGGAGGGGGGGAGAGAGAGACAGCGAGAGGCAGTCGGAGGAGTCTGGGGCCGGTGGCCGGTGGTGAGCTGAGTGCAGGAGGTGATGGTGGAGGTGGCGGGGTGGCTGGCGCTGCTCCTCTCACCCAGGCATTGTCAGAGCACAGGTCCCCATGGCTCTGTTGAGGACAGCCCGCTCTCTCCTGCCAGGGGCATGCCGCGTCTCCGCTGCCCACTGACGGCGACCAGAGCGCCTCCCCAGCTCTTCTCCTCCTCCTCTTCCTCCTCCTTCCTTTCCTTCTCCTTTCTCTCCTCCTCCTCCTGCTCCTACTTCTCGCTCTCTCTCCCCGAGTCCGGAGCCTGGGCAGCCGCCGCCGGCAGGGCTCTCCCTCCCCCCCCCCCCCCCCCCCGCGCTCCAGCTGCCGCCGCCGCCGCCGCTGCCGCAGGTCTGCCCGCGGGCGCCGCCGTCGCCGGGCTGCGACTGCTGACGCCGCCTCCCCCGGACCTCGGGGCCGAATCGCCTGGGCTGGGCCTCCCGAGAGCCACAGTCATCTTCATTCCCCGGCTAAGTTGCCGCCATCTTCGTCCTGGAGAAACACTTTTTTGGGGGGAGCGCTGGCTTTTGCGTCATCTCCTCCCGCGCCGAGATCGCTCCATCCTGGCGCATTGGCACCGGCCTCGGCCCGGGCGGAGGAGGAGGGCGAGGACGCGCGGGGGCCGGCGCGGGTGGGGGCCGGCTGTGCCCGCGGGCACCGCCTGGGCTTCTGGGCTCGGGCGCTTGCTCCTTCCTCTCTGTGCCCTCGCCCCACCTTTCGGTTTTTTCCTTCTGTTATCTCTGATAAAAGTCAGAATGCGGACTGCATGGCTGAGGATGCTGGCTAATTTCTTCAGCATCTCCCGCTCCCTCTCTGCCTCCGGAAAAAGTCCGAGTTGCAGGCGGGCGGTTAGAGGTTTCTAGTGGGGTGAGGGTCTGGGTATCGCCTTCTTAACTAAGCAATAATCGACTTCAGGTGAAAGGCTGGGGGACAGGAGAGTAAACACGAATTGGCTAGAGGAGAGAGGAGGTGACATTTGGTCTCTTTACATGTGCCTCGGGATCCCTAGACAACTAGAGACGAGCAGCTACCAGCGCATTCCATTATTTTGTCCAATGATTTTAGTATATGGAAGGTATTGTGTGTGTGCATCTATATCTATATATGTGGCTGTATATATTACAGAGACGTAATTCATATTCGAAAGTAAAAGGAGATTAGAAGTGGCCTCAGAGTATTAGGAAAAAACATAAGACCTCAGCTACCAGGGGTCACCGCCTAGCCCTCCGCTCCGCGTTCAATGGCTTCATCTTGGACGACTCCTTCTGCGACCTGCAGCATCCCAAGCTCCTGTGACCCCCATCCCGACGGCCCGCGCCCCAGCCCCCACCGAGGGTTTTGCTGTCGCCCAGGATTTCCGCAGCAGCGGGCCATCGGGCTGCCCGGGTGGCGGCCGCTGCAGTCCGAGCCTCTGGTGCCCCTTAGCGTTGGCTCTCAGAGTTCCGAGAAAGCGACTGACGCGCTGGGAAAATCCGGTGGCCCTCGGATCCCGGCTCCTGTGGATGCTGTGGGCAAACACCAGTTTCGTTTTATCTCAGGACCCTGCCCACTCCGCCCCTCACTCCCGCTGGAGCGGCGGGAGCAGGAGGCTGCGCGGGTGCCAGGCGCCTCTTTTGCGCGCGCCCGGAGCGCTGCGCTGTCCTGAGCTCTCTCTGGCGGTCGCCTAGCACAGCAGTTTGCTCCACAGGGCACTCATTGTGACAACCTCCCTTCCTTGCCTTCTAATGACCCTAATAACTCTGTTGGGTGCTCATTCACAAGGGCAGTATTACGGTGCCATCCTTCTAAGTAAATACCTTGAAAAACCAAAGAGATAGGTCATTCGTATTCATTTTCCTTTTAGAGGCGCTGTGGGTGTTAAGATGCGAGAGAAGTAGGTATTTTGAAAATAGCAAGTTGCAAAACATAACGGGCAGTATTCAACCAACCAGTCCTTTCCTTCCCGTGGCATAATAACGTATATGCTAAATTTTACCTACCTAAATTACAAGTTCCTAAAAACTACATGCAGCGACCCGTCAAAGCTTGGTACAATTTGACTGCTCGTTGATGTGTGTCACATAATGTTTTAAAAGACTATTTGTGTAAGTATACCATTCTGGCACTTTGGATTTCAGTGTGTTAAATTTTTTAAAGGACATCAAAGATCTAGAAACTAACAGATATACTTTCTACAGCAAGTTTATCCTTACCTTAAAGCATCTTTAAGCAAAAAACTGAGGTTCTGTTGAAAATTAAACATGAAACAAAAACATTTTTTACCCAAGCTTTATATCTGAACCCAGCTTAAGCTGAGAAGATGGTCTTTCAATTTTTCTCTCGTTTGATTGTTTAAATTATTTTAACATTGAATAAAATATTCTCTTCTCAACCAGTGGTGTGGATAAAGATACCCTTTGGGAAAATCCCTTAAAATTTTAGAAAGCATTTTGTTTTGTCTTCCATCCTCATGGTAATTACTCATCTTAAATTTAAAAGTTCAACCCTCTTAAGCCAAATCAAATTTAAATAAAACATAAAGTCTGCTTGAAGACATAATTCAGTATAGGGTGTGGCATTTTCTATTGTATAAATATATACATGCAGAAGATAATGTCAGAAGTCTGCATTTCTATTTCTTGTTGAAAGATTTTGCAGAACAGGAAAGTAAACATATCATATTCTAAATCCTGAAATCATTCTCTCTCCCTTTTGTTTTTGAACCTGTTGGTAATTTATGATAAAATACAGATGAAATGCAATAATCCAAGGCCTTTCTTTTTATAAACTCAGGGTGGGTATTTTTCTTTAATTTTTAAAAGAAATTTTTCTTTCTCATTTCTGGTTCTCTCTTTCTCTTTCTCTTTCTCTATCTTGATTTTGTTGTTTAATAGCTGGGTTATAGGATTTAATTTCCTACTTCTTCTTTCTTTTATCCACCCCTTCACTTTTCTTCACCCTGTTTCTTCCTAACTTGAAGCTGCCTGGACAGGTTTATAGTTCTTTTCATTTCTTCTGTGCAAGAGAGAAAGCTCAGAAAATCCATTATGAGAAAGGCCCACAGGGTGTCTCTGAGCTGGGAGGCGCACACAGAAAGCTCACAGGCAGACTAGACCAAGTTTCAGAACACAAAGATGATCTGAGAGAGACTTGCTTTTTAAAATGAAAAAGGAATATCCACCAGAGCCCTTCTGCTACCCCAAAGGGAGAAAGGTGAGCAAAGCGACTGTTGTAAGGGTCCCAAGGCTGAAATACCTAAACAGACGACCACTCCCCACTGTGCACCACCCCCACAGCACCCAACCCGGCTTCCTTTGCGCACCTCCAAATCTGGAATTTTGGACTTTCAGCTGAGGTCAGATCTGCTCTTGTTCACAGTGATTAATGGCACCTCGGCTGAATATAAAGAAGACCTTAAGTTCCTCTTCCAAGAAAAAAGTGGCAGACGTTCTGCTGAAATGAACTATCATATTTGTTCTTAAAATATATATTCTATCTTTCTTCTCCCAGGTGCAGTATACTATAATTTTTTACTAACTCTCTTCTCCAACCCCACCACTGCATGTTTATTTTTAGCTTCAAATTTCATGTCCACTCACCTGCACTGTGCTCTCTGTTGAGTGCCCCTGGTATTGACAGATAGACTCACTATAACTCCTAGGGAATGGATTTTAAAGCTAAGAACCAACAGAGCTATTGAGATCAAACTATTTATGATTACTCTAGGGAGTGTTTCTCAGCATCGCCTCTATTGACATTAGGGGTCAGATACTTCTTTGTTGTGGGGGCTGTCCTATGCTCTGTGTGAGGTTCAGCAGCGTCCCCAGCCTCTACTCACAAGACAACAGTAGCACACCCACCTCTCCCCAGTTCTGGCAACAAAAATGTCTCCAAGCACTGTCAAATGTCTCCTGGGAGCAAAATCACTCCCCATTGAGAACCACTGCTCTAGAAACATCTCAAAGTAGCAGTTACCTAATTCATATCTTCATGGGAGAGGTTCTGGCATGAGAGATGAAGCTATAACTTTTTCTTTATATTCAGAGAATTTATAACCTAAGAACTTTTCTCCTAGAATCACCACCTCATCATACCTCTCTTGCTACAGAATATTTTTAAAAGACTAAAAAATATTGAAACGCCCTTAACTTCTCTACCCAATACAAAGTTAAGGGGATAATTGACAACTATCATTTAAATCTGATTAATGTCAGAATTTTTCTCTATAATTCAGATGAAAATATATTTATTAACCAGATTGTTTATTAATCAGGCAATTGCCTGTTTGTACTTTATACATGGACCCTCAGCCACAATATGTCATAAACTAAATATATGTGTGTGCATATATACATACATACACTTACATAATTATGGTTATTATACAAGTACTGAATGCACACTGTAGAAAAATTGTAAATAACAAATTAGCAATTTAAAAAGTCATAAGTTATCAAGACACAGATATAGTTATAATTTCATTTGGTAATATCTCTATAAGATTTATTTTATATTATAAATCCCCTATTTTGTGACATTTACTAAACCAGATTTTTTTTTAAAGATTGAAGTAAAAAGTATGATAGCATACATATCCACATTTATTAGATAATAAGGCAATTTTCCCTTCAGTATTGCATTGTTAATTTTACTCAGAGAGACACAAATTTTAATGGTATCTCAGAACATTAGAATCTCTCTCTTTCTCTGAGTGTGTGATTAAATCAGAAAGAGGAATAGGAATGGGGAAAATAAAAGAAATGAACATTACTCTCAAACAAGGAGAAGAAAAAGCCAGGCTCAGTTATTTTTATCTTATTATTATTCATATCTAGTCAAATTATGCCTCACAAAGTATTTCAATGATGCTAAGTAAAGTCTGATATACTACATTAAAATAAGAGTATTTTATCTGATTTTTTAATAATTGGCATAATAATACTTTCTACAAATAACTATCGTTAATTCTTTGTTTTTAAGTAATCTGGACCTTGTCTTCCTCTAATAGTTCTCATGAATTAGGATGTTTTAAAATAAGACAGCTTTAGGGGCTGACCCTGTGGCTTAGCGGTTAAGTGCGCGTTCTCCACTACTGGCGGCCAGGGTTCAGATCCCAGACACACGCGGAAGCACCACTTGTCCCGCCATGCTGAGGCGGAGTCCCACATACAGCAACTGGAAGGATGTGCAACTATGACATGCGGCTGTCTACTGGGGCTTTGGGGAGAAAAAGGGGAAAAAAAAGGAGGAGGATTGGCAATACATGTTAGCTCAGGGCCTGTCTTCCTCAGCAAAAAGAGGAGGATTGGC